GAATAAAAGAACTAATTTTTAACCTCTATTTGGAGTGGATTCAATCAATCATTTTATAACAGCAGCAAGTTGCAAGTTGCTCATACTCCCACTGCTTTTTTGCCCTTAGTCATTCTGCTTCTCTGTTTAGGTAAGGAAATATCTCTGAAACGATGATCCAGTGGGTCACAGGTTGTCTAGTAAAAAATAAAAGTGAACTCAAGAATGTTACTTTATGGGGGGTGGAATATGATTTTTGTAGATGCCTTTCCTCCAAATGAAGAGGATAGAATTTTTAATTCCTCATTCCTGATTACTGGGTTATGATAATGAATTGTTTCCAGCAGCTCACTACAGCCACTAAACATCATTTCATTGTATGTGAAGTCCCTCCTTCGTGGTAATATTGGCTCAAAAATCTCTACATGTATTTTTTAAAATCAAAGATATATACTGCACACTGCTGGCATGACCAGGAGATGATTAAAGCATGACAAAATCTAGCTGCGGTATCTGCTTGCTTAATCTCTCTATTGAAATAGTAAAAGTGTGAAGGAATATAATTTGACTTTGGGAATGGGTAAGGAATGAGTGAGCTGTTAAGAGGAGACTTTGAGAAAAGATAGCTGAGTCCTGAGAAAAGGAAAACTCTGGAAAAGAAATTCAAAATAAGCTCAACTTGATTTTGGTTAGTGTAAGATGGGGCAGAGGGAAACTTGGACAGGCTTTCAAGATCCTGTTATTTCACCTACCACAGTAAAGAGTATTCTTGGAATCCTTGCAGTATCTGTTTCTTGGTCTTGCTTATTTTGAAGGGCTGACAAAAGGTCATGGAACTTTTGGACTTGTTAAAATCTAATATTTCTTCACTTCCTGATTTAATCAAAGCAACACTATATCGCCATTAAAGACAGGTTGGAGAGTTGTGGGTTTCTGTGTGACCTCACAGTACTGCAATATTTCTACCTCGGTCATTCACCTTTTCTTTTGTGTCTTTGAAACCTTTCTTCTAGTACAAGCTATCATATGAATATTATCCTCAGAAAACCTTAAACAAACATTTGTTTTGTGGATAGAGGAAACGATGAAGGATAGATAAAGAGTTGTTTTGGAAGTAACTTAACATAAAAACATTAGGAAAATCAGCATAAGAAACCATTAGATATCACATAGATATTTTTGCATTGCAAATTAGATAACAATATAATGAAATATAAAGCCTCCATCTGTGCTTAACCCGTGAGAAATGGTGTTAAATCTTCTAACCAATTTTCACTCTTCTGTTTCATGTTTAAATTAGTCTTTGTAATAACTTGCACTTTTGGTGTTTCTCTCTTCTTTTCTTTTCTTTTCTTTTCTTTTCTTTTCTTTTCTTTTCTTTTCTTTTCTTTTCTTTCCCAATTTTCCTGCTTCAACCATTTCAACTTTTGAACCCTGAAACCTCAGTTCATGGCCTCAGTTCACTATAAAATGAAATAAGCCTCAACATCAAAACCCAATGTGTAACCAAACTAGACCCAAATATGTCTGGTTGCTCTTAATCCCAGGAATAAAATACAGTACCCTGTCTACTATATATTGATCCTAGCAATTGCCAGGACCTTAATGGAAATACCTAAAAACTTTCCAACATAGGTCACAAAGGTTGATGCTCTACTAGGTGCTCATTCCACAGAGTGATAGTTGATAAAATATAAGCTCTATAATATTTTTGAAAATCTCATTAATTAAAACCACCATTCTCAATAGATAATCTCAGTTTAGCTAGTGAAATCTTAGGTGGTCTGTTTTCCCATACACATTTTCCCACTATCTTACCTATCCAAAGAAAATATTTATTTAGGTTTAACATTGGAATATCTCATATACCTAGATTAATCTTGGAGTGATATTCATTTTAATAACATTAATTTTACCCCACCAACTTCATGGAATTTTGATCCATCTATTAATATCTAACGCAACATTCTCTAAAACTTTTAATTTATTTAATTCCACATCAAAAGATCCTATTTTGAGTTTACTGGACACCACAAAGAATGTATTTGAAAAGATGGACATCAGGTTTTCTCTGTTGATGATGTACAAAATTTGAGGGGTTATAGACATATGCTTTGGTCCTGTCAATCATTGACATCCTTTTGGAATAATACTTTAATATACATAAGTACACACAGGGAAATTTTTTTAGTGCTAAAGATGCTGATATTATGTTAAATTATGTCCCAAAACCTTGGAATTTGATTATTTGTGTGGAGTTATGGTTGTATTGGGCATGTATTGAGGTGTTGCTAAAAGATTTTGAGAAACTGGAAAAGTAGTAATATTCCTGATATTAAGGATTAGATTCAAAAGATGTATGACTTTATCTACTAATAAAAAATGTCTCAATAGGATCAAATCAAAGTTAATTTTGCAAGGAAGCCTGCTTTCAAAGAATCGCGCTACAAAGGAAGAAAAAGCCAAGCCAAGAATTAAAATAGATTACTTTGGAAATGACCACTAAAGGAAAGAAACGACTAAGAAATAACCAGACAGTGCTCAACAGTGCAAAAAAAAAAAAAAAAAAAGGGGGAAAAAAGGGAGGGAAAAAAAAAAAAAAGAAAAAAAAAAAAAAGAAAAAAAAAAAAAAGAAAAAAAAAAAAAAGAAAAAAAAAAAAAAGAAAAAAAAAAAAAAGAAAAAAAAAAAAAAGAAAAAAAAAAAAAAGAAAAAAAAAAAAAAGAAAAAAAAAAAAAAGAAAAAAAAAAAAAAGAAAAAAAAAAAAAAGAAAAAAAAAAAAAAGAAAAAAAAAAAAAAGAAAAAAAAAAAAAAGAAAAAAAAAAAAAAGTGGGGAAACAAGGTAGGGAAACAACAAAAAATTGTCTCTTTTCTACTACATCATGATTCTCACAGAGCTGTAAGTACTCCTTTACTTAAGAACAAGCTTGCTACCTTAAGAAAAGAAGGCTATACTTCTTTTTTGAAGGAGATTGCAAAAAGAAAACACTTGCCCACCTCCATATCACCCAACAAGATTTGTTATAGTCCTAGTTGCCATGAGACAGGAAATATTGGAGGGAATAGAAAGAAAGGCCGCATGATAGTCATTCTTCAGAGACCATCCCAAAGGCTCTAGGAGAGCTTTGTCTACTTATAAGTTCCACAGTCATGGCCATTTTTGTTTCCTTAAACGACATCCAATCTAAACTGGATAAGCTTATTCAAACTTTAACAATGCCTGGTGCTAGTAGTTGTCATGCCACAAGATCTAACGATGCAAGGTCCTCTACTAAAAATCAGTCTGAGGGTATAGCTGGAATGCTTCAAAAGAACCAGGCTCTGCTGTCTATCCCTTTCAATAGCCTGTTGGCTAGGAATCTTACACACTGGAAAGCTGTAATGCATCTGCTAAGCAAGCTCCTAATCTGTCATCCCAAGCACATACATATCACTTTTTGCCTAGTTTAAAAGAATCTTGTCTTTTTCTTTAGCCAAATAATGTACAGAAAATGTTTGAGATAGCAGAAACTCTTTGACAAAACTACAGTGTTTTCCCTTCTAGAATTTTTAAAGACACCCCGGCCCAGCCCAGTTCAGCTACACTCTCCTCCCTTGCTTAAGGCTACAGCCTCCTGCCAGGAGCAGAGGACAATTACTATAGAAACCAGCGCTTCAGTGCAAAGAGAATGCAACCATCTTTCTCTCCCCCCAGTGACTCATTTTATGCTCAGTTAATGTCTCAATATGTTTTTTGTGGTATAGATTTTTATGGTATTTTGTAACGTTAGACAATCATTAATTATTTTTCCCTTAAGGTAGATTTAGAAAACATGTTATTAATATGTGACATATATTGACAGTTTCCCCCTTTTCTGTTTGTTATTTTATTTTATTTTTGTAGTTTTTCAGGGATTTCTTTCCTGGGCGTTTGTATTTTGTAATTTTTCTATTTCTTTTGTTAAGATAGATAGATAGATAGATAGATAGATAGATAGATAGATAGATAGATAGATAGATAGATAGATAGATACACACACACACACACACACACACACACACACACACACAGTATATATGGAATTAATAATTGTGGGCAGATTGGAATAGTACTGAGTGGGCAACAGGCTTGTGATGCCATTACCTGCAATCTTTTCTCCAGTGGCAGGGCCTTAGGGCTGAGTGACCTGTTAACCCTTGTTTGGTTTCTAAACCTCAGACACTGTGGGCAATTGTCCACAATAGGGCTTTCACTCAGGCACACTGGATTAAGAAGGAAGATAACTATAGGTGGGAGTCTGCAACTAAAGCCTTAGCACTTGTGGAAGGAGACCTGCACTACCAGAGACTTAAAGCAGATTATGCTTTCTCTAACTTGTTTTCACTGAAAATCAATATTAAGAACAAAGCACAAAGATTGATGATTCAAGAGACACTTTCTTTAGCTTTGCAAATAAAATGTGAAGAGTCTGCCAAGATGGTAGAAGAGAAAAGAAACTGAAAGATGAAATTAACTCATGTCTAACTAACTGCTTCAATTCTAGAAGATTCTGATTACAGCATAGTAACGAAATATCTCTCATATCCTGAGAAAGTATATCAACCATTGTTTAATAAGATAATTCTAGTAGTAAGAAAGGATGTGATGTGTAGCGCACACTGAAATACTATAGAAGATTACATTCTTTAGACTCACAGTTCACTGAGTAAAGAGAATGTCTTCTTGGCATAATAAAATGTTTTGGTTAATCGTGAGCTCCAAGATACAGTAACCACTCAGAATAAATTGCTGGTGGCATTTATAGGAGAGAGACCTTACTTTAATCCTTATAGTTTCTTATGTCTTAATGTTGGAGAGTTAGTTTAATTCTGGCTGTTCTGAATTTAGTTGACTGTGCAGTTTTAACTTAAAACTAAATACCATTTCACATTTGTTATTGATTGATTGTGGTATTATAAATACTAGAGATGTCATTTCACTTGCTTCTAAAATCTATTTAAGAAGTTTTGTTTCACAGGATACTTGGGGGAATGAGTTGACTCCACATAATATAGTTGTAAGATAGCTTTATTTCCTTTTTAAAATTTATCTGGCCTTGAAATACTTTGTGAACTGCATTGCACCCTTTCCCAATGTAAGGTCAATGGATGATGTGCTTTCTCTCCAATATCAGAGAAAACAACTAGGCTTATTCTTTCTTTATTAATAAATTACATTGTTTCACAACCATTCCCACCTCCTTATGTCATTAAAAAACAACAACAAGGCAATATATCAAAGGCTTTTCCATTTAAATTTACTTTAAAATTATTACAGGTAATACTTCTTAAAAATAAGAGAATTTAGTTCTATTCATGCAACAGTAGAATAATATTTACATGCCAATTAAGGCCCAAACCTTTGCAGATGGGTTTACTCTGGTTCCAAGTTCCATCTTTGGTACAGCGGATTGTGGATGCTCCAACAGGTTCCATCAGGTACCCTGGATTGCACTGATAGGTTATTGTCTTATTAAATGAGAAATCATTTCCAAATTGAATGCCATTTGCCAGTTCACCTGGATCTCCACAACTGATCACTAGGTTAGGGAACAACAAAAGTTTTGTTTTTAAAGAAACTGTATCCTACAGCAAATGTGCATACATACATAATAGATATTATCCAGAAATCTGCAAGTAGAACTGTGTAATTTACATTCATATTCAAGCAGCCCCCTGCTGAAAGACAACTTTTAAACCAAGGGAATTTTAAAATACTCTCTGTGTCTCTCTGTGTATATGCATATATAGTAGAGGTGGATCCTGATGGAATGTAAATACAATCAAAGACCCCTGCCATGAAAATGTAACTTCTAACCTGTGTTACAGCAATCTCACTGATTTAGGAGCATAGATGTACTGCAAAACCTAAACTTGGATTGAAAAATTAAATTATACTATTGAACAAGTTATTAATGAAAAGAATGCAAAGGATCTAAGTAAATCATAATGTAGATTACATTTAGTTTAAAAAAATACTAACACACTAGACTTAAATCCATGTGTGTCGTTATATAATATTTGCAGTAAGACCAATAAGCTTAATAGATTAATATACATAATAATCATATAGATGTCCTTCTGGTAAAATAAATCTGATGGCACAATTTAATTTCTGGAAGTAAATGCAATGTGTATTTATGTGGCTTAGTGTAGAGGTTACATAAATCTATAGCGATCTAACATTGAACACCTAAGCAAACTCACTAGAAAGTTTATCTGATTTCAGTGGGACTACTTCTGAGTGAACATGTTTAGGATCAAATGGAACATATGATAATTAGCATAAACATGATTTACCATGCTTTTTCTGAACACTTTCCATGCAAATGTTATTTTTAATATTTAAGTATATTGTTAACAGGATAGCAATGTCAAACCTGTACAGTCTGGAGCAATGCCAGTCCATGTCCCATTGGCTGTGCAGTGGCGAGTTGTCAGCCCTGAAGTCTTGTAACCTTCCCAACAGGAATAGATAACTGAACTGGAAAATGAAATCCCATCATTATAGATTATCTTGCCATTGGCCGGTGTCCCAGGATTTCCACAAGATACAGCTGCCAAAAGTGAAGATGGCAGGAGAAATAAAAGAAAGTAAATTTAATTTCTATTATAAGTGGATACATTTAAAAACATAAAAAACAATTATTTTCCATTGTTTGCATTCATTAATGATTACATGGTATACATGAATAAAAAGTCAAAAGATGTGCTTCTACTGGGCTTACATGATCATAATGACTCATTAGTTACAGATGATAACAGGTACCATCAGCCAGAAACCTGTATTTGGTGGGTCCCAGGAGACGTGCCTTCTCTGCTGTGGCACCTGCCTTAAGGATTATCCTTCCGCCCAAGATTTGATTAGTGCCATCTCTTTTGCTATTCTGGAAGGTCCTCAAGACCTGGTTATGTGATCAGGCCTGGGGCTCCCAGGGAACCAGAGGCCTGCTTAGATGGTTCCATTGCTGAGGGGGGCATTTTTATTCTCCCTCCTCTATGGTTTGTATCTTGGTTTTTATGATATTTATTAATGTGGTTTTTATATTTTTTATGTTCTTTTTATATTTGTTTTTATCTGATTGTTGTATGCTACCCAGATCACTTTTGGTTAGAGGGGCAGCTATATAAATTTGCTAAATAAATAAGTAAGTAAATAAATAGTGAACATCTTCAAAATGAATTTGGAAACATGAAGTCCAAAGCAAGAAAATAAAAATGGTTAGAATTCATAACACTAGAATATTTTCCATTTTTAAATTGTGCACACACACAAAGCAACACAACTCAGTTTGTTTCCCAGGATATATTCTAGAAATGGTTAGAATGATTTTCCATAGATAAATTCAATACTCAGTGCTTAAGTTTGAAGGAACAATAGTTCTTGTTAAAATGAACTCAAATTCTTTGCAATGCTTTTTCACATGATTGTTTTCAGACATACAGGAACTCGCCTCTGATGCTGCATAACTCCTAATCAAACAATTTCCAATTTAGGAAGAGTTACAACTCTAGTCTATTGTCTCAAGAGTATGCTTCACAATTTCCCCACCAATAGTTCTGCTGTGATGAAAACAAATGACAGGAGGGAAGATTCATTTTGTTCCAAATTAGATTTGCTCTATTTATAAGAAAAAGCTAAAACCAAAATCATTTAACAATAAAGCTGGGTCAAAAGGAAACATGCCAATGTTAGGGAGAGGTTTATGAGGTGAAGGTCTGAGGAGATAAATTCACCTGAGAGAAACGGAGAATGGCTATATTGTGCATTCAAATTTAATTCTGGATTTTTTTCTTGATTAATGATGTCCAGAAATGACACATATAGGCATGAGAGGCTTACATTGCACACTGTTGTATCATATATGAAAATGTCCACAGATACATAGTATTTAAATACCTCATACCAATTTAACAGATGAAGGAACTGTGGAACATTTTACCGGTGGAAAAGAAGCTGTAAGCTATAAGAAGATGGATTGCTCACTGAAAAAGTGAACAGGTGCTTATAATAAATTAAAATAAGAGAGGGTCATAATCACTTCTATACGTGGGATGAATGTATACTAAGATACTTTTGGTAAGGGGAAAGAAAGGTGAGTGAAGGACAAAATCTGAATCCAGAGCAAAAGTTCCCTGCAGCTCACATTTCTATTATGATGTACTTGGCTTTCTCTAATTCTGTTTCACTATCTTAAGGCAAATGCTTTCTCTGTATTGCCCGTGAGGTTAAACAAGACAAGAAATTTTTCATTAAACCATAGGCAGGCAATCAGCAATCTGCAGCTACATTCAATTCTCAAAGCAGCCTTGCTTGGAATAGTGTCAGGCTATTGGTTGTGTTTTGTTTTTCCTAGCTTGAAAGAATGCAGGTTTAGAAAATATGGTTCATTCAGAAAGTTCTCATTAGATTAATGAACAACAACGAAACATAGTACAGGTAGTCCTTGCTTAATGGCCACATTTGGGACCAGCAACTCTATCACTAAGTGACATGGTCACAAGGCAAAACATGATGTGACTGCAACTTGCAGTTTTACTGCCTGCTTTTCCATTTACTCTGCTTGTCAGAAGCCGGCTGTGAAGCACACAAATGGTGATCACCTGACCACAGGATGCTGTGAAAGTCATAAATGCCACTGGCTGTGAAGTGCCCGAATCTCAATCATCTGACTGCAGGGACAGTGTGACAGTTGAAAGTGCGACGACTGGTCGTAAAGTTACTTTTTCAGTGCCGTTGTAACTTTGAACAGTCGCTAAACAGGACAGTCATTAAGCGAGGAGTATCTGAATGTTGTTTTGGCTCATAACTGTGATCCAATCAAAGATAAGTAGTTTCCTATTGGGGTATACTTCCAGTACTATGCTGATAAGTGCATATCATTTTTCATTTACTATACACACATTTCAGACTGCTAATTATACTCAGTTTTGGGGTGATATTCATTGTCTCATAAGTGGAATTCTGCTTGCACATTAGGATTTTCTTTTCCTCTTTTTCCTCTGCCACTCTCCATCTGCTCCAGAGCCCTTTTCCCAACTTTATAGACCAGGGTTTTGTCTGCTATGGGATAGGGGACTGAAGTTAGGTTACATTAGATTTTAACCTTTATCTCTATATGCACATTCAACACACATACATTGAGAAATGTATTAATCTGAGGCACAAAAAAAGAATAAATTCAGAATATGTAGGTAGCCTAGAGCTGACTTCTTTCTTTCTTCTTGCAGAGATGCAGATGTATTTGGAGGGAAAATATCTCTTACTGGAATGGTAAGTTCTGTCCTCCCTAAGAGTCAGAAGATGAGACTGGACCAGTATATAATTGCAGAAAACAAGTTCCTAAATACAATTAATGTTGAAGGGGATATAACCAGAGCATAATATAGGTGGTATCTGCTTATCCAAATTAAGAATGATTTAACTATTGAAACATATTTGAAACTATATTTTTGAGTAAGCAAAGAGTAGTTTAATTCCCTTCCCTCCCCCCCCCCCCCCCCCCCCAAAAAAAGAGAGACTTAGCAAATTTATACAATTACATGAGTTAGAACTTGCTACTACAAACCTTCACAGACTGGCTGCAGACCAGACCAAGATCCATTAAGGAGACATGTTCTTTCTGGGGAACCTCTTAACTGGTAACCCATTTCACAGGAGAAACGTATTAGGCTTTTGATCTTGAACTCATCACCAAGTCTAGACCCATGGGAAGGCATTCCAGGATCATCACAATAACCTGGGTTGTTTCCTAAAAATTATAAACAGAAAGAGTTACATTTACAATTGGGCACTTCCCACTGTTTCACACTCATCTTATTTGGGACTAATGTAGCAACAGACATTTTGTTTTGATTCCAATATTGAGGTTCACTTTGAATTGCAATGATATGCAGAAATGTAGGAAGTTTCAACTTATTTTTGAATACTGTATACTAAAGTAAGTTTCTTTAGCTAATTCCCTAATGACCTATTGACTCACTGAAAAATCTCTCAACTATTATGCCAATCTTCTGGCTCCCTTTGTACAGAATGTAAATGTATTAGTGACTGTCAAATTTTCTACTACACAGTTATATTTACATACGTATATCAGTTTGTGTACCTATCATTTGTCTTTCTACCTACTTATCTATTGGGATTGTTACACAAGAAGGATGGTACATCATAATTTACAAGTTTTTAAAGACATGGACTGATTTATTACTTGTCTTCCACTGAATGACACTAATTGTTCATTAATGTTAATATTTTTATGTGGTGCAAAGCATTGTGGAAGAATTCAGTGGCTGAACCAATATTATTACAGAAGCCAGATTATTTATTATTGCACAAAATTATAGTATGATGAAAATGAAAATGCTGCTTCATAAAGAAAATTCTAATGGTACAAACATGTTTATAGTATTCAAGTTTATTTAGGATTTTGAAAATCTGGAGGTATTATTGACATTGATAAAATCTTTACGCAGTTAAAGAAAACTGTTTATTATGAAAATAGTCAAAGAACAAAATGTAGAGAACAGTTTCCGAACTACATATTTAAAACATCATTTATTGTTTATATTGCATATACCTCTTAACTGATAAGATGTGAGGAACAGTGTGCCGGTGGCTTCAAAAATATTATCTAAATTAGAAATGCTAGTTTGCTAGAATAGCATGAGTGGGTTTGGAGTAAGACTGGATTTGGTTGCACCCTCGCACACCCTCCCTGACCCTCACCCCGCCTTCCCTGCACCCCCACGCACCCTCACACACCTCCCCCGCACTGCCTCACAGAACCTCCCCAATACCTGCTGCACCCTTGTGAGCCCCTCGCACCCTCATGTACCCTCCCCAATGCTCACCAAGACTCCCCACAGCCCCGCATACCCCCTCGCTCCCTCCCCCACCCAGCAGCAGCCACTTACCTGCCAGTCAGCCTGGGACTTGCAACTTCCTGCCAGCTTCCCCACTGACTTTGGTTGTTGGAAGCTGGCAGGAAGTTGCCTCACCTAATAACTCTGGGATTCAGTTAATGATGGCAACTGGGATTGCAAGGATTGCTGTCGCTAAGCGATGTGGATGTGCTTTATGACCATATCATTTAGTGATGGAAATTCCAGTCCCAGTTGGTGTTGTAAGTTGAGGACTACTGTATTACTAAAAAGCATTATGTGAAAGCCTCAACAGATCAAAGTTATGACAAGCAGTAAATATCTGCAAGCCCATCTGGTGATGACTAGGGCATTTGTAAACCTGCAATTTGTAATATAAGAACAGTAAATGGTGAGGTGAATGAACTAACAAATGAAATTTTTTAAAAAAAATCAGATATGTTGCATGTCTGTGAAACTAAGAAAATGCTAGTACTGTTGGCTCCTCCAGTCTTAGATTTTTTTAGATATAGAACACTTGAATCAGGAAAGGAAAGATATGTTCTGAATTAATATTTGGGTGCTATGATAGGGTAAATGGGAGCCAATAATCTGAGGTTGACTTTAACAAGATGAAGAGTTTGTGTGTATTTCCTTGATCCCTCTCAGAACAGATATGCAATCTGGGATACTAATTAAGTCATAAGTATCAGTGAAAAACCAAGAGATCCCTGTGGCCAGGAACATATATTATCAGCTTCAGTTGGTGTACCAACTATGCCTTTTCCTGGAAAGAGACAGCCTACCTGCCATTGTTTATACATTGATAATTTTACATTCAGATTAATATAGAGACAGCCAGTTTGGTGTAGTGGTGAAGGCGCTGGCCTAGAAAGCGGGAGACAGTGAGTTATAGGACTCCTTTAGGCATGAAAGCCAGCTGGGTCACTTTGGGCTAGTCACTCTCTCTCAGCCCAACCTACCGCACAGGGTTGTTGTTCTGGGGAAAAATAGGAGACAGGAGTATTAAGTATGTCCATTGCCTTGAGCTAACCAAAATATAAAAAAGGCAGGAATCAATACTTCTCCGCCCTTATTGCGTCTGCAGAGTGCCGCCCGGTGGTCCTGTTTGGCATCACCAAGTCCCTCCTGGGTAAGGGGGATGTGGTGGTGCATTTGCAGGGCTGCATGGAGGAATTTGCAGAGCACCTGCAGGATAAAATCGCTCAGATTCATTCCAAGTTGGACTCCGAGTCTGGCGCAGGGTCTGGGGAGATACCGGGGGATCGTTCTTGCCCAGTTACCTGGGAACGGTTTGATCCTGTTGTTCCTGAGGAAGTGGACAGGGTCCTTCAGTCTGTGAGGGCCACTTGTCATCTGGACCCATGCCCCTCCTGGCTGGTGAAAACAGCTCAGGAGGGGACATGTAGTTGGATCCAGGCGATGGTTAAGGCATCCTTGCAGGAGGGAGTGTTCCCGGCGCCCTTTAAAGAGGCGTTGGT